CAATGTTGTAGATCTTCTTAAAGACAGTTCACTTCGCTGAAGGAAATAATCCAGCCAGTGTTGTGATGCTTTGAAGTCTTTGGGGGCTATGTCAAACTGTGGTGCCATTGCAAGGGCAAATTCTTGAATCTAAGCCCTATTCACAACCAAAGCCTTTGCTCTCCTGTCAACAACCCATTCACAGATCAGGTCTTCCAGCTCGGAAAATAATGGTTGCCGACCTGATCCACACTTGCGCTTTTTCATCTTCTCTTTGCAGAAAGCAGTAAGATTTTGGTCCCAAGAGTCTTCCACGATTCCTTTCTTATACTCCATGGAGTAGCTTTTTCTTTTTGTGCTCATCTCTAGGGGTAAAAAAAAGGAATTGGGGTATCAAGGTGGGGGGAGGGGGATCACTTAAAATGACACAGGGGGGATTAGAGGGGGGAATCAAAATGGCACAGGAGAATCAGAGGGGGGATTACCATTTTAGTAACCCCTTTTGATCCTCCTGTGTCATTTTGATTGCCCCCTCTGATCCTCCTGTGTCATTTTAAGTGATCCCCCTCCCCCCACCCCTGTGCCACTGAACACCTTCACCAGACATCCCCCCTACCCCTTTATCAGACGTTTACCCCCTGGGGCCTGCCTGGGGGCTGTCACTGGGTTTGCTGGGGCCTGGATCTGGGCTGGAGCAGGGTCTGCCACTGACTGAGAACTTTCAGTCATCGTGAGGGCAGCCGCGAGCATCAGGTAGTGTCACCAGAGACAGACCAGCACTCACCACCTTCATTGCGTCCCATCCGCTCTAATCCTCCTGTTCTACATGCATCTGTGAAAGTCTTCTCCTCCCCCCCCCCCCCCCATGCGCTCACTGCTCACTCGGACCTCCGCTCCGCCTCCACACAGCAGTGACGTCAGGACTCAGTGTAACGTCACTGGTTGCTAGACGCCAGTTTATGGTAAATTAATTTTCATTCTGAGACAGAGCCTAGGGAGGCCTTATTTTCGGGGGAATGCCTTATATTTCACTCGGAAGGAAACCTGTAAGTAGGTCTTATTTTCAGAGCATGTTTTATTTTCGGGGAAACATGGTAGCTTCTGAGACCCCAATCCTGGCTTCTGCTCACACAGCTCCAGTCCATTTCACCCTCCCTCTGCCAGAGCACAAGGTCAGTGGCTCCACTGGGAATTTTGAGAGTACTTGTCACTCCCTGGCAGACAGCAACCCCATTGCTTTTCACAGCCAGATGTTATATGGGTACCTTTCTCAGTTCTGGTGCTCTCTGCTGAGGGCCCAGCTTGGGGATTAGATCTAAGAGTTCTCAGTGGCAACCCCCCACAGCTGAGATATCTCAGAACTTTAGTTGCTGTCTGTGGGCACCTGGCCAGCCCTTTTGTACATCTGTCACTCCTACTAGTCCCTATGTGGTCTCCATTTTAGGTCCTCAGGTATAAAGGTTCTCTCCTGCAAGCCTTCTGCCAATTATTCAGGAAGTTTTCCTATATTTTAGTAATTCCAGTTTGTTCCTGGAAGCATTTTCGAGCAGCATCCACTTACTCTGCCTCCATTTTTAATCTGCTGTTTCTGTCTTTTGATGTTAATGTTTTAAAATAAATAATTAAAATAATTAATATTAATATTATTATATGAAAAGCATTTTTCAAAACTAATGACAAACATCAAACCACAGATCCAAGAAGCTCAGAGAACACCAAATAGGATAGATTAAACAAAAACCAAACATATTATATCCAAACTGCTATAAACTAAAGGCAAGGAGAAAATCAAAGGTAGTTTGCAAAGGGGGAGATGCATTACATACAGAGGAACAAAAATAAGAGTTGTATGAGACTTCTCATCAGACAGTAGGCAAGCCAGAAGACAACAGAAATGACGCCATGGCGCCAAAACCAGACAAAGACATTACAACCGAAGAAAACTAGCCCTGGCTGGTGGCTCAGCTGATCGGAGTGTTATTCAATATACCTAAAGGTTGTGGGTTCAATTACGAGTCAGGATACACACCTAGGTTGCAGGTTCAATCACAGCAGGGATGAGTATGGGAGGTAACAGATTAATGTTTCTCTCTCTTTATCTCTTCCCCTCTCTCTCAAATCAATAAAAACATATCCTCAGGTGAGGATTAAATAATAAGCATAACAATTAGTAATAAAATAATAACAATATATTTTTAAAAGAAAACTACAGACAAATAACCTTTATGAATATAAAATCCTTAACAATACAAGAAAAATAAAATCCAACAATGTATAGAAAGAATAACTCATCACAACCAAGTGAAATTTATCCTGTAACGAAAGGGTGGTTCAACATTCAAAAAATTGATGTTATTCAGCAGACTAACGAAAAATCAAATGATCATCACAAAGAGCGCAGGAAACTCATTTTATGAACATCCATCTATGATTTAAGAAACACTATCAGTTAACAAAGACTAAACGAACACCTACTCTTAGAAAGGGAATCTATAAAAAACCTACAACTGCCCTCCTTCCTAACGGTGACAGACCTGAAGATCAAGAACAAGGCCGGGATATGGGCTGGTCACATCTGGTCCATGTTGTGCTGGTGCAATAAGTCAAGGAGGGAATAAACATCCACATTGGAAAGGAAGAAACAAAGCTACCTCTATTCATAGATTGCATGATTGTCTACAAAAAATTCCAAAGAATCTGTAAAAAAAGCTACTAGAACTAAAAAGTGAGTTTAACGAGGTCACAGGATACAAAGCACATATACAAAAATTAATTGTATTTTTATATACCAGCAATGAACAATTCGAAATTAAAATATTTTAAGGTACCATTTACAATAGCTCCAAACCTTTGACTATTTAGGTATAAACCTCATAAAATACAGGCAAGCTCTCTATGTGGGAATTCAAAGAGCAGCGCTGAAGGAATCAAAGGCCTAGATAAATGGAGCGATGTGCAATGTTGACAGACCAGACCAGATTAAGATGTCAATTTCTCTAAACCTGATCTGTGCAGCCAACACAATTCCAATAAAAATATGAGCAGGATTTTGAGTGGAAACTAGCAAGTTTATTTAAGTTCTAAAACTTAAATAAAAAGGTGAAAGACAAAGAAACCAAAACAATTTTGGAGAAAAATAAAATAAAATAAAGTTAGAATCAAAGAACACATTTTGAAGGGTCGAATCCTAGTCTACACCAGCGTTTTTCAACCGCTGTTCCGCGGCACAGATGTTGCCTGGTGTGCCGTAGGCGCAGACAAGACAAGAATTTTATAATTTTTCACTATTTTGTTTGCTTAATATTTCATAATAAAGTAATTATAAAATACTTTCTTTGTGTTTATTTGATTCCTATTCAAGAGAATTACTTTATATATAGTCAATATAGGCACAGAGTTAAATTTTTTAACATTTTCTAATGGTGATGTGCCTCGTGATTTTTTTCATGAAACAAGTGTGCCTTTGCCCAAAAAAGGTTGAAAAACACTGGTCTACACGACTCCTAGACTGGCTGACGTCCATGCAGTCCCAACAGCGCGGTGCCTAAGGGCAGGCAGACCGGCCCACGGAGCGACACACAGCGCCCAGAAACAAACCCACACGGCAGGGTCAGCTAAGTCCGAACAAAGCCGCCGTGAGAATGCAATGGAGGACAGGGGCCTTCCCCGGCCGCCCTGTCGCCACCGCAGCACAGACCCTGCAGCCCTGCCTCGGCCGCCTCTTCGTTGTGCTGCCCACGCAGCTGAGAAAGCGCCGCCCGGCAGAGCGCTAACCTCCGCTCCTTGGCGGGAAATGGGCACTTTCTCTGCAGACTTTGGAGCCAGAAACCTTCAGAGACTCGAAGGACCACAACAGACTTTCAAATGGCTGTGATGCTCAGAGAAAAGGCCAAATCTCCGCTCCATTCCCACCTGGGCTCCTCCCCACCCCTCCCAACCAGTGTCTGCTGAATGAATGATCAAAGCGGAGTGCTCCTGTTCCTGCCAGTTCTCTGAACCAGGTATGCTGGAATTAGGAGAGAGAGGAGGAACCTGCACCCCAGGGGACCGGAGGTTGGTAGGGCATCAAGTTCTCATGATCACGAGCCGCACTCTGCTCTTCTCACTCCCTCCCATGCACACGGTGGTTTATAATGAACAGCCTGTCCAGAGGGAGACAGGGCCTTGCCGAGGCCACACCAGCGGTCAGTGGTTTGGCTGGGCTGGCGCCAGGACTCCTGATTCCTAACATCCTGCCTCCTCCTCCTCCTCGTCATCGTCATGGTCAGTCACCAAAAGCCAACGTAACCCAACGCTCACTTTGCGCCAAGTTCCCGGCCTGTGGCTTTGCGCGCATCTCCCCGTTCACTCACAACATCCTGGAGACATGAGTGTGGTCGGATCGGCACGCTCCTGGGGCCAGCCCGGCATGCTAGCACTCGGCCTCCCAGCAGAGGCCACGGCACTGCAGCCCTCACCGGGCCCACTCCAAGGAGAGTCCAGGGCGCGTTGTCCACCTGTCCTCCCCGCCCACCCTCCCCCATGGCATTTTTGTCGAGAACGGAGCGAGCGTCGGCCCCACCACACTGTCCTTCCAATGAACCGCACAGCCCTGGGCATGGCAGGAGTCTGTCGGTTTAGGTTAAGGTGACCAGACGTCCCGCTTTTGGCGGGACAGTCCCGATTTTTAAAAGAATCTCTTTTAAAAATCGGGACTTTTTTAAAAAGCTGCGTGACACGGGACAAATTGTTAAAAACCGGGACTATCCCGCCAAAAGCGGCACATCTGGTCACCTCAGTTTAGGTGGGTGCAGGGGAGGGCCACCCCACACCACCGTGGGAGCAGTGGGCGCTCCGGGTCTGCAGGGGACCAGTCAGGAGACACAAACACCCCCCGTCTTGCCCTCCTCGACCAGGCAGAGGTCTGGGCCACGTCACCCCAGAGTCCCTTTCTGTTCCCCTCTCCCTGCAGCCAGCAGGCGCCAGCGTCCGAGCCGTGACGAGCGTGGCTCGAGAATGCCACGGGAAGAGCGGTCACTCACCCACCGGTGTGCCCAGGCTCCTTTCTGTCCACGGGCGGCTGTCCTCCCCCAGATGCTCGGCCTGTGGAGGCCCATCTGGCTGTCGTTCCTTTCACTCGTTCGCTGACTGTGATGGCATGTTTCTCGTTGCCTGGAGCTTTGGGGGAAGCAGCAGAAAAAAACAATCAGCTTCCAATTCATGTTCCCTCCCCTCCCCCACGTGGCAGAGCGGCCTGAATGGACGTCTGTGGCTGGTGAATGTGAGGGGCTCGCAGCAAAGCCCGCTCCTCCCCACAGGCTTCAGCCACAAAGCACAGGCACAGCCTCGCCACCCCGCGTGCAGGCCACAGCGCGGTCCCTCTTTCTCTGTCTTAGGGGGCTTCGCCCTCAGCACCCCCAGGTCAGGCTCACCTTGGCCTGGAAGAACTGGGACGTTCTGCAGGACAGTCCATAAATTCCTTATTTTTTTCCTTTTTTTTTTTTTTTTTTCCTTTTTTGCTCACATGAGCCAAGTATAACAGCTAGCTGTCCAGACCTGTTTAAAAAGGATAAACCCCAGCTAAGCACATAAATAACACCCTACCGCTTTTATCATATAAACACAACCAGGGAGCCAAATGAATTAAAGAGCCCAAACACAGGTTCTCATTGTTATCTCATTAAGGCCATTAAATATGTAGGAAAGAAAAAGGCTTCCCATCCTGGGTCTGGTTTAAACTATCAGGGAACAGATTAGAGTTAATTAATGCCATGAACTCTGCAACCCCGGGCGGGAGGCTCCCAATAGAATCCACACCTGTCACAGACACCATTTCAGAAAATCCAAGTGGACACAGACGGGCCCCTCCCCTCCCCCTCTACCCAACCCTGGAACATGGGGCCCCTCATCTGTGCCCCTGATCTGTGTCCCCCGCATCTGGATGAAGAGATAACCCCCGCCCGGAGACGGAGAGTTGGTGGACTCCGTGCAGAAACCGTGTAAAGGTCTCTGGTGGGCACTGCGGAAATTGCCAGGGTTCCAGGCGCACGGCGAGACTGCTAAGTTGCTCCTGGCAAGTCTGAAGGAGCTTATCAATTATTCATGCGACTGGATAAACAGGGATTTTATCTGGGAGCGTGAATCGAGAGATAAAAATTCCATTTCAAGAGGGAGGTGGAGACTGAACCCTGAATGTTAACTGTAAATGGGGGAAAGGAGGAGGAGAGGAAAAATGAGCCAGGTCTTCTGCGTGGGCTGTGCCCTGAGCACCAATAAGCTCCCCACCCCACCCCACCCCCCCTCTGTTCACCTTGAATGGAGCTCACCTGCCCCTTGGACTGTGCACCAACCTCACCTGTGGACAGAAGGAGCCGGCACATCACCCCAGGGGCAGTTGATTGGGGGAGGGGGACATGAACCTTTGTATGGATTTTTAAACCTCCAAACAACAATACCTTTAAGGTATTTTCACTTAAAATCGATTTGCTGCTTCCAGGCTGAAATCGGAAGCAGGGGGAAGTTTACCAACAGCTGCCTAACAGCTGGCAAAAGGCTCAAACCGAATGAAACAGGAGGCAAATTCAATGTGCAGCACATTTGGGCCAAAAGAAGAATATGACTTCGCCTCTGTCCTGCCTCCTTCCCCCGTCCTTGCACCCGGCAGTCTTAAAGGCTGGGAAGTTCACCCAAAAGACAGCATTGGGGAATTCGGAGTGTTTTCAGACGCTGACATTATTACATCTGACCGTGGATTGGAAACAAATAAGTGGAGAAAGGGCCTCCCCCCCAGCGTCAGCAGGCTTGTCCCGCAGGTGGGACTACGCGTGACTTTCATTTTCACTCTTCCTCCTTTTTGCCTTCCAGACAGCGTATCAGGAGCACAGTGAATTGTATCATGGGAGAGGAATCAAACTTGCTGCTTTTGAAAATACACTGGTTTTCATAACAGGGGTAACAATAACCTTCGTGGTTTAAAAAAAAGCAATAGACTGAAGCCACACAGGTCCCCCAGCTTTTCTTATTTCATTTTTCTCCTCCAACAAAAGCCTCTCAAAATGGAGGACTCATCACAATAATAGGTTTACCTTTTCTTGCCACCCAGGTGGGGGATGGGCAGGGAGGCTGATGGCTTCGGAAAGGTGGCTGCTGCTGAGATGGGAGAAGGTGGGGCCTGTGTATGAGGGAAGGACAAGGAGGAGTCAGGAATTCCCAACCCATGACACCCAACCACCACCTTAGCAATCTCTCCTCTTGCTGTGCCTCAGTTTCCCCATATTCAGGAAGGGGGACTTGGGGATGCTCCTTCCCTTTCGCTTATCTTACTCTTTGGACCTCAGATGCAGAAAGCTGCAATGCTATTACTGAGGTCGTGTGTGCTAATAACTTCCGTCGGGATAGGACCTGCCTTTGTTGTATTTTATCTGTTATCCCTTCCCCAGAGCCCCCAGGCCCGCATCCCTTCTTTTCCTCCTAAAGGCATCCACTCACATAGGTGTGATGTGTGGCCTCAGCTACACACACTGAAAATCACAGTGTCTGTCGTGTGCCAACCCCCAAGGGAGCATTTGAAAGCGACAGATCCTGAGGCCTCCCAGCTCCAACACCTGAGGGCTGAGCCCAGCTTTCTGTCTGTCACCTTGAATGTAGCTCACCTGCTCCTTGGAGGATGCACCAAACCTCACCTGTGCATAGCAGGAACCAGCACAGAACCCCCAGTGGCAGTTGATGGGGGTGCACATTGGGATGCCACACATCCTGGGATGCTCAGGGTCTGGGGCACCCAGGAGCCACACATCTATGTTCAGGGAACTCATCAGAAATGGGAATGGCTGCCGGTCTTACAAGGACATCCCTCCACAGGCCCTACACTAAGAGCTTTACCTCCTAGGATCCTACCCCAAACCACCTGAGAAGCCTGGGTTTCTCAGATGAGCAATAAGGCTGCGATTGTGAGGTGGCCCAAAGTCACACAACCCAAGAGGGCCAGCCCTGGCATTCGTCAGAGAGGCTGGGCAGGGGGTCCTGAGATTTTAAAAGAAAACCAACCCCAAACCTCCTAGGCAAGCAAGCCTGGTGGCCACATAACAGGTGTTTGTTCATCACTCGGCAATGAGCGTAGGCACCCAGCCACCATGCTGGCTCCGTGGCTGTCCACAGGGGAACGCCTGGCCCACCTGTGTGGTGCCCTTGAGTATAGAAACAATGATGCTTTCCCACAGCTGGGGACTGGTCATCTAGGGTGAGTTAATACATTAATGAAATCTTACTAATAAACTAATAAATGAGAATAAAATCAACAAGCCATTGAGCTTGGGCACCACCCAAAACAACAACTGTGACAACTGAAATGTTAATCATTACACTTGTACACCTACCTGTCCACTCATCCACCTGTCCACACATACATCTATATGTCCATCTACCCCTCCATCCATCCATACACTCACCCATGCATACATCTATCCATCCATCTGTCCATCCTCCTGCTATCCATCTACCTACCCACTCTTCCATCTATCCATCCATCCATCCATCCATCCATCCACCCATCTATCTATCTTTACATCCTATCACCCATCCATCCATTCATCTACCCGTCCACACATACATCTATATATCCATACACCCATCCATACATCCATTCATACATCTATCCATTCATCTGTCCATCCTCCTGCTATCCATTCACCTACCCACTCATCCATCCATCCATCCATCCATCCACTCATCTATCCATCTGTACATCCTCCTATCACCCCTTCATCCATTCATCTACCTGTCCACCCACCCATCCATCCATCCATCTGCCCAACCCATTCATCTACCCAACATCCATCCATACATCTAACATCCTCCTACCATCCATCCACCTACTAACTCATCCACTCAAAACTGACCGCCTATATGCCAAATGATCGGGTAAGCCCTTGAATGCCCTGCCCGCCCCAAACACAGTCTGGTGGAGCAAGAAGACTGGGACAGGTGTGAGGATTAGTGGGGGGCAGTTTCTGGGCAGCCCATGGTATTTTCACACCTGCCTCCCCCAGAGGCAGATGCACAAGAAGCCATTCAGGACCCAGGCAGTTTAGAGTCAGGCCGAGAAGCCAGACTTTTAAGCCCCAGACCAGGTTCCCACCCAGGCTCCATCTCACACCAGCCTGGTGTCTCAGGGCCTAAGAACATTGATTCCTGCACCCAGTGCCCACTTCTGCAGACACTGCCTTAATCCTACATGGCAGATGCAGAGGCATCACCCCATTTTACCTAGAAAGAAACAGGAGGGGCACTCATGTTCACCCTCCCACTCTGGGCCTGCGTGAGCCTGCGAGTGACAGCCCCTTCCAGCTGAGCCCTGGCGCCTCACCCTGGCCCTGGCCCTGTGAGTAGCCTTAGATTTGAGAGCAAGTCTTCTGACGTGAAACCAGTGCTCATTCTGTGTAGCTTGTTTGCTCATTCATTCATTCATTCATTCGTTCAGCAACTATATAGTGAGTCCCATTACGCACAAGACATGTGCTAGGCACAGGGTACAGTGGTGTCACTTAGAGCAAGACTGAGCCTGTGGAACTTAGCACAGGGGACAAATGAGTGTCAGTTACCCATGACCACAAGCTCTCTGGAAGGCAGGAGCACGGTTTCCCTGCCTCAGTTTCTCTATCTGTAACGTGGGGTTGGTAGAGAGGATCTGGCTGACTTTGCCCTGGCCAGCATGGCGCTCTGCAGGTAGCAATTTTCACCGAGAGGTCAAGGCCACTCTGGCCTGTCCCTACCTTCATCCAGAGAGTCCTGCCCACCCTTCCCACCCAGGAACCAGCCTGGACATTTATTTGGTTATTAGATAACCAGGCCTGGGCACAATTTCTTTGATCAGACACCCCTGATAACTAGCAGAGGAAACCAACCATTTTATAGCAACATTTCCTGGGGCAAGCCGTCTTCCCATGTGCATTTAGCAGGGACGGGAACAAGGTGGGCGTTTGGTGGGGAGGGAGGAGGAGGCTCCGTCTGCAGCGATTGCCCACAAACCCACCCCCGGCTTTGAGGCGGGTAAACTCAGAGGGTGGAAGGCTGGCCTCCCTTCTCACCCATATCTGGCTCCCGGCCACCTCCTCCACACAGGCTGGGCCTGGCCCAGAGAAGCCAGCCTGCGTGCCCGCCCTCTACCCTGCAGCCCTGACCACGGGGGAGGGTGCCTGCGGTTAACAGCCCAGAAAAGCCCAGCTCTGGAGGCCAAGATGCCACAGTGCCCATGGACGTGAGTCATGGCCGGCAGGTCAGGAACGGATCTGCTTCTCCTCCACATGAGCTTGTAATTACCACCATTTCCAATGTCCTCCATGACCGTGCTGAAGGCAGGAAGGGCTGGGACTGAGCGTACTTCTCCAGCAAAATGCCAGGGCTGGACAACAGAACAGAACTGTCTTGGTTTTGAGTTAAAAATAAACATATGTTTGAAGCCAATAAATAAGTTTTAGCTTAGGTTCCTTCTCTGTCTTTTGTTTGCTCTCCTTAGGACTAGACGAGAGTCTTGTTCAAACATGACTGTTCATTTCCTTTGCTTTTCAAACTGTTGGGAGTAAAATCTGGGTTGCCTGGGAACAGGTGGCTCCCCTGCCCTGTGCCGCCATCCCTCGCCCGAAGGACGCGCTGCACCGGGTGGCCTCCCACCCCCACCGCGCTGCTGCGCGCCAGCAGGAGTGCAGAGATGGGTGCAGCGGGGTCCCCTCTTCAGAAACTGTCAGTCTCAACTGCAAGGTTTAGCTAAGTCTTAGGAGGCACTTTTCCCTGTCCTTCCTAAAGCTCTTTGAAGAAAAGCTGTTATGCCGAAACCGGTTTGGCTCAGCGGTAGAGCTTCAGTATTCGGACTGAAAGGTCCCAGGTTCTATTCTGGTCAAGGGCATGTACGTTGGTTGCGGGCACATATCCGGTAGGGGGTGTGCAGGAGGCAGCTGGTCGATGTTTCTCTCTCATCGACATTTCTAGCTCTCTATCTCTCTCCCTTCTTCTCTGTAAAAAAATCAATAAAATATATTTTTTTAAAAAGAGAGAAAAGCTGTTATTATAGAATGGGCCTTTTTTCCTTTAAAAATTTTTTTTTAATTGAAGAGAGAGACAGAAACATCAATAAAAGAGACACATCAATTGGCTGCCTTCTGCATACCCCCTATTGGGGATTGAGCCCACAACCCTGGTATATGCCCTGACTAGGAATCAAACCCAAGACCTCTTGGTCCATGTAACAATGCTCAATCCACTGAGCTGAATCAGCTGGCTAGAATGAGATCTTACCTAATAATAGACAAACATGTAAAATTGACCATACCTCCGCTATGCCACCAACCAATCAGGAGCAAGATGCAAATTAACCCAACAAAGATGGCAGTTAATTTGCATACAAAGGCGCTGAGTGATGGGGAGGAGAGAGGGGATGCTTGTGTTGTTGCTATGCCATGATGCAAGCGTTCTGCCCCACCCCAGGTCTCTCAGGGCCTCTGGGCAGGGTGGGAAGGCAGGGCTGAAGGAGAAAGGGGCTGGGCCGAGTGGAAAGGCAGTGCCGGCAGCCAGGGAAAGGAAAGCCCATTCTAGCATGAATCTTCATGCATTGGGCTTCTAGTTTTTCAATAACATCTTCAGATTCGGAATGGAACTACAGCTCAGTGATACAGGGCACCCCATAGAGACACAGAGCATCTTGGTCATAGGCGGGGCCTGGGGAGTCTGCCACCTTCCAGCTGTGTGGCCTTGGGCCAGTGGCCCAACGTCTCTGAGCTCAGTTTCCTGGTTCTGTAAAATGGGGCTAACAATCCTTCCATAATTATCAGCAATTCCTCCTATTTACAAGTCAATAATGCAATTCGTCAGACCTTGTAAGGACCTTCTCACTGTGGACAGCAGTAACTGAGGGCTGAAAGTACCAAACTGTGCCCTCACCGGGGCTGCCAATGTAGCACCCACTCCCCATGCCACACTGTGAACACTCACCCCCGCCAGCCCAGCAGCACCCTTCATTCAGAATCCCGAGAGTGCGCCTTAATCATGGATACAATTTTTAAAATTATCCATAACTGCACTATTTGCAAATTTAAAGACACATAATTGCCACGGATAGTCCTGATTATGCAATTACATTCGCCCGAAAGGTTGCCCCTTTCCTGAGAGCTTAACGTGGGCACAGAGCCACCGTCTGGGGGGGAGCTGGCCCCCGCTACTCCAGCAAGGCCCCTCCTGTCTCACGCTGTTCTCAGCAACTCAGAGACCAGGGAAGAAATGTCATTTTCAGGAAGGAGATTGATCGTTTCTCTCACATTTCCACCTGTGGAAGATCACGCTGTGGCCCATTCCCACTCTGCTCCTCTGCTCCCGGAGAGCAGGGCTCAGGGCAGCCCAGCGGCGAGGGCTGGGGCTCCTGGTTCCCTGAGAGCATCCCCCAAGCTTCTCATAAGGACCAGAGGCCAGGTCGGGTGCTGTCTCCCAACCCTCAGAGGCAAGCAGCCCACAGCACCGGAGGTGGGTCTATAACCTGTCAGAGGACTGCCTGGCAGCTGGCCTGGGCACCCAGGGCACAGACCCGTCCCCCATCCCCAAGCCCTCAGCCAGGGGCGTCTCCATCTCTCTCCTCTTATTCTCTCTCTGACTTTCCCTTTCCTGTTCTCTCTTCTTTCTCATCTTCCTTACTTTCTGTCTCTCCACCCCCCCCCCTTTTTTTCTCTCCCTCTTTCTCTCCCTCTCCCTCTCCCTCTCCCAGTTCATGGAAACACAATGAGAACAGACATCCAGATCTCCATGTCTCCAGCCTCAGCCCCATCCACCACAGCTCCCCTTCAGTTATCCAGATGGCCCATGTAGACAGAAACAATCCGGCTAAATGTTTTCCAGTCCAAGTGATTCTCTCTCATCTTCATTCGTAAACCCAGTAACTCATGGCGTCCTCCTTCGGACCTTCCTTCAGCCTTGCTGCCACTTGGGAACTGCCTGGGAGCTGCGGGACCTGGGTGGGGGGCAGAGGTGACTGGTTTGGGCCATGCTGTCTGTCCTCCTCCATCCAGCTGCCTCTGGGCTGTCACCCTAAAACGACTCAGATGGGAACTGGGAGGTGGTGGCAGGAGGAGGAGTTGGGGCAGGAGGGTGGGGAACCGCCCTGGTCCGCGACTCACTTTGGCTTGGATGCTCTCTGGAACCCGCAGGCTAATGACAGAGCGCGCTGGCTGCTGGGCGCCAGTTTGGCCCCTTTCCCTGTGCCCCTAGCTGAGCTCCAAGTCCGGTGACTTTCCCAAGAGAATCTGAGCAGAAACTTCAAGGGTCAGGACCAGCGGGGCTCAGGAGAGCTTCCCCGCCCCTGTCCTTCCAGGGACCAGCCTGCCTGGGTGCACTTTGCGGAGGGAGTGCGCCGGATTGAGGGGGGTCTTGCTCACTGCGAAGACTTTGGGGGAGGTGAGGGGCCGAGCCGAATGGGGTCAGCTGGGGTCTGAATGGCAGGAGGAGCCGTGCCAGCGGGCTGGGCGCACCGCGCCGGTGAGCGCGCAACGCGCAACGCCGGAGGCTGTCTCCACCTCTTCTGGCAAGTTGGACCTATGAGTGCGCGGCTCCACTTACAACCATCAGCAGCCCGGAGGGTGAGCGCCAAGGGGGGCGCAGGGCCCGGGCAACTTCTTCGCGGGACCCCAGCCAGGCGCCAGCGTCCCTCCGGCCCAGGAGCCCCGCGCCCGCCTCCCTCCCACGCTGCCACGCTGCGGAGGTGCCCAGGCCGTCCAGCCAGCCCCGACGGGATGCCCGCAGCCATGCTCCCCTACGCCTGGGTCCTGATGCTTCTGGGAGGTAGGTGCCACCCTCCTCCTGGCGGGCTTGCTGTCTGAGGCAGGAAGGGAGGGAGCTCGCCGTCTGACTCCCCAGAATCCGTGGGGACTGCCGCCTGGGTCTGCGCCGGAGGCTGATGCTGCCTCCCCCAGCCCTTCCCAGCCTCACCTGCAGCACCTGCTGGCTCCAGGCTCCTCCTGGCCCTGCGGGAGGGAGGGTGTCACTGGCCAAGTGTGCACTCTTCTGCCCTCCCAGCCCCTGCAGGCTTGACTTCCAGGCACTAGGAGGAGCCCTGGGGTGGGGTCCAGGGGGACTGGTACCTCCAAGAGGATGAGGAGGATCCCAGGCCCCCTGAGACGGCGGCCAGGTACAAACCCGGTGTTGATAGCAGGGCCGCAGCGCTGGGCTTCCGCACGGAACCTGGACCTGTGGGTGCTCGGGGCTGTGTCCTGAGGCAGAGCTGGAGGAGGCAGGGGAGGGTGCAGGGACCCTGGGCCAGGCTGGTGGGGGGTTGGGAGAGAGACGGTGGCCAAGGGACCTCAGGACCCCCGTAGAGGAACGGTTGCTCGTTCGTTCGGGCACTGGTGCTTCTTAGAGGGTGGGGAATGGGCAAAACTCTACAAATGCCAACGGACCATGGGGTGCCATCACTGGAAATACGATAAGAACCACCACAGTCATGGCAGTGTGCCCAGCCCCGGCTGACCCCAAGCACCCTCACACTGTGAAGGGTGAAGCATTCTGGCCCTGGAGTCAGACCACCGGGCTTTGAGGCCCAGATCAGCTTCCGCCCACCTGTGCGGCCTCTGCATGGCCATCAGCTCTTAGCCCAACATTCCCATCTGTCCAATGGGCCACCAAGCCCTCCCCTCTGGCCAGGCCTATTGTGAGGCCTACAGAGGAGGGGGGACAGCACGGAGCATGCACCTGGCACCAGGGAGCAGGCACTCTGCTCCTGTACAGTCACAGGCAAAGCCTGGCCTGCCTGCAGGAGCCCTCAATGGGTCTTCTTCCCCACCTCCAGCTCCTAAGCGCTAGATGGAGGGGAGATGAAAGGGTCTGAAGGAAGTCAAGGGAGGCGTGGGTGAGCAGTTTGAGAGTCACAGACACATCCACCCAAAGGGTGCATTTACCACGGGCTGGAGGTGAGAGGTGGCCAGGAGGAGTCCCCAGCAATGTGCAGAGGGCACGGTGCCCTGTTCTCTGGCTGGGGAGGAAGCGGGGAGGGTGGCGGGGACGGCTGGGCGCACAGCTGAACCAGGAGAGGGAGGAACCATGATCTTTATGCTCCCCATTCGTCCCTCCCTGCCCCCTCCCATGACTCCCTCTCTGCTCCCTTCCATCCCTCCCTACCTGCTCCCTCCCACGGGAAAGGGACAGCCTGAGAGCCCAGCCGGACAGGTGACTCCAGGTTGTGCAGGTGTGGCCACAGCACACGGCTAGTGCCTTTCCTTGCCAACAAAATCCCTGGAAGTTAGCATGGTGCCTGCTCTCAGGGAGTCCTGCTGCTCGGGCCCTGGGCCACCTTTTGCCATGGGAGTCAGAGCCGGGAGGGAGCACCCGATGGGAGCCGGCGCCATGGCCCTGCGTTCAGACACAGACGAGGAGGGCGCCGACCCCACTAGAGCGCCAAGCACCGTTTCCCACTGAACACTTTCTTCACAAGTTCTTCTCCCCCTGGCTCATCACCAGGCACCAAGGTCCCGTCGCTTCCAGTTAATCCTCAGATACATACATAATTTAGGTACCTGAGCAGAGGCGTGCCTGCTTCATGTCCCAGGTTCCAGAAATGTTGTGGACGACACACCAACGGCCCCACCAAGTGAATCCACAAAGAGTAAACACACACACACACACACACACACACACACACACACACGCATGCATACAGAAGCACACACCAACGTTGCTCAACCTCAATACTATTGACTTGTGGTCCACACCATTCTCTCCGCGGGCTGCCCCATGCGCTGTAGGATGCTTAGCCACATCCGTGGCCTCTCCTCTACCTGCCAATGTAACAGCTCCCAGTTATGGCAACCATAAGGGTCTTCAGACACAGCCACATGTCCCCCGGGGGAGAGGGGGTGTACTCCTGGTTGAAAACTACGTGTATGGCTCCATCAGACTCAACTGGTAGCTTTTCCGATGAATCTGTCAAAATCACCAGGTCGGATGGGTTTGTTATTCTTGCTCTGAGCAATCAGGAAATCAAAGGTACAGGGGGGTTCCAAGAAAAACAGCACCCCAAGCGAGTTGCCAATTTGGTCACTGATTTTTCCCATTTGTTCTCGCTCCTTCTCGTCTCTGAGGATGTCCTCTGTGAATGTCTGGCCGTGGGTGGGTGAGTGCGGTGAGGGACCCCCTGCAGCAAAGCCCTGCCATGCCAGCTGCGACCCTGCCAGTGCCCCGGCCCCCAGCTCGGGTTCACGCCACAGCAATTTCTGGCTTTTAAAATCTCCTTACTTGGCAATTTATGCTTGAGGGGGGGAAATGAGAAACCACTGCTCCTTTCTATTTCTCATTTCTTTTAGTCTAATTTCAGCCCTGCTTTTATCTTCAACCATGTACTTTGCGATGGCAAGTTATCATTTAGAGACAGATTAACTGGAACGAAATCACAGGCTAGCCCATAATAAATTAGTTGTCAGTGTGGGGCTCCGCTTTGAATCCAAGAATAAAAACTGGGAGGAAAATTAACTTAAGTACACTCCTCCGAAAATCAACAGAGAATGGCGACCAGTAATCGGATTAATTATTTAAAATAAAGAAAGTTATCAGCAGAAACTTTCTCCTGCTGCCTCACCCGGCGGTCAATGCTGGCCAGCTGTTTTGCTTATCGTTCTGACCGGAGCTATAATCTCCAGATTCAAAATACCCAGCTCCAGGCAAACTGAGCAGCTTCCTTGATTTCAAAACCATCTGGGCGGTGGGCCAGTAAGAAGCAACCCAAGAAGCAGTATCTGTGGATGCACTGGAAGTTAACGATGTTAATGAAAGCTCCAAAGCCAGAAGGAGCCCTGACAAAACTTCCAAGATAGGTGCCTCCCCCAAGCCAGTGGACAGCCTGGTGCACAGGAGGCCCTGCGTCAGCCTGCAGGGCGTTGGTCATGTATGTGGTGGCTCCCTAAACCCAATGCTGCTGTCCGCGCATAGAATGTAAGCAAGTCCACCTCTGAGTGGCTCAGGGTGTGGGGCTCAGTCCCAGCCAGACCCTCCTTCAGCTCAGCCACGTCCCCAGGCTGTCCTCTCCCCTTAGCCCTGCCTTCTCTCCCAGGGCTCCGGGCCCATTTGGCCCTCATCCCCACAGACTACTAAGAGAAGATGGCCACCCCCAGCTGCCGCCACTGTGACGCAGCCACACGGAAGTGTCAGGCTGTCCATCAAGTCAAGTCACCTCCTTTCCACCACAACCTACACACACACACACACACACACACACACACACGCACATGCATGCACCCACAGGCTGTTCCTTCTGCTTAGAACACCATTCCCTGCCTCCAGGCTCCCCTTCACCTGCAAATATGGGTGTGAATTCCTAACAGTGGAACTGCTGCAGCAACATGTGTGTCAAGGTCTTTCTCGAGCCTCCATTCCACATGGAGTGCACAGTCAACACTCCCACGGGCGGCCTATGGGCGCACCACCATCCTGCAACCTCGCCACCTGTCAGCATCATTCTTCACAAACCCTGCCAATGGCGATGCTCAGACTTCCTTCCTTTCCATATGAGCAAAGAGGAACGTCTATTTCTACTTTTAGGGCCCCTTGTATCTGTTTTCCTATTGGTCATACCCTTTGCCCACTTTTATATCGGACTTCTTAAAGAATCTCTTCTTATTGATTTGTTAGTGCTCTTTACGTACGGAAAAGTAGCTGGCTCCGTCTGTGGTGCAGTTGTTCCCAGCTCGCCCTTGGTTCCCCCGAGCTTTCTGAGAAGCGTCCCTGCTCCTCATCTCTTTCACATCCACTCCGGTGAACCCCGCACAGTGGCAGTGAGCTAAATGTCCATTTTTCCCTGAGGGATAACAGACGGCCAGGTGCTCTTTCCGTAAACGCTGCACGTGCGGCATGGGACAGAGACCTCGCCAGGCTCTGTGCTCAGCGGGCTCTGCCTATGGCCTCCCTATGCAATTGGCGCCTCTGTGTTACAAAGGACAGGCGAGACCGTGTGCTTATGATCAGCCACCTGGCCAGCCCAGGGACTGAGGTTTGTGGGCCACCGAGCTTCACGCCTCAACTGCCCTTACTGGGAAGTTTAGCTCGAGGTTCAGGCAAGGACCTCCTGCCCCGCTGCCCATTGGAAAGAGGCCGGTTTAGGACGAGTGTGGGCAGCAGAAGATGCGCACGCGCTGAGGCACGCGGCTGGCAGTGTACATAACGAGACTTAGGGCGGAAGATCGCAGTGTGGAGACCACAGGCATGCTAACAAGAACAGTCTTAAATCCTCAGTTAAATGTGATTCTGAGAGGGGCTCAGGAGCGAAGGATCTTAATTGTCCATCTGCAAAGACAGCTGCGTGGGCTGGGCTCTGGAATTCAATTTCCCACATCCTAACTCCAGCTGCTCCACTGGCTTCCTGATTACTTAATCCCTCTGGGCTTCGGTTTCCTCCTCTGCACAGTCCTGTCTGCCCATGGGTGGCTGCGGAGCAGGTGAGACTGGTGCCTGGTGGGCGTCACTGCGTCATCATTAAGGTGACAGGACGCTGCTCTAGGTTCTGATCTTCGGACCAAGATATACTGCTTCTTAGGGCAGGCCACGGAGCACAGAGTGTGGCGGCAGGAAGGGTTAGAAATGGCGGCTCACAAGGTCAGCGGAGGACGGGGCGCAGAGTAAGTAAGGACGTCAGAAGCCCACGTTTCTGCTCCAAAAGTGACCGGGGGCGTGCGCTGCCTTTGCCTGGTGATGTGGCCAAAGGGCCCCCACTAGTGGGTGGGGTGGCACCATGTGTTTGTGTCCTAGGACTACTGTGCGAAGTGCCACAAACTGGGTGACTTAAAACAACAGAAGTGAAC